TGTTGAAAGTTAAATTTTTATTTCGAAATTTCTTGATAATTTTGAAGGTTTTTGTACTATTAACATAAAATTTGGTAGTTAGATGTTTTCGAGCATGAGAAATACGAATTTGATATTTGTTTTGTGATTACTCGTAGAGGGCGCTAGATACACACTGTACGTTTGAGATATCAAGTCATGACTATTTTGTCAGTTGAGGTATGGTGAATTAGAACCAGAAATCTGAAGGAGTTTTCAATTCTGCACAAAAAAGGTACTCTTGCTTACATTGTCTAAGTCTACTGGTTTCCAAGTTATCTGCTTTTAATTGTTTCAAAGTAATTTTAAGGTTAACATTTAAAATCAATAACACACAGTAACTATAGCAATTAGTAACGATAATAATCGATAACAATAACAATAAGAATTTAACTTTCAACACCCTATGCCTCGAGAACCACTGACATTTGTATAAGAGATGTTACGTTAAATCATCATATTTTGGTGTCTAGTATCTCCGGTATTCGGATTTCCCATTCTTTCTGACTCACCCTGTATAATTTTTTTTAACTTGCTACGAAACCAGCTATGTTTTTGCTAAAGGTCACGATATTTTGGAACGGTATTTTTATGTAACGACCGTTCTGGAGCGCGACACGATTCTGACCGGTATTCCCATCACTAATAATTATTAATTGCGAAATATTGGCATGAAAAAATAATTGCGAATTTTATTAACGATCGTATCCTGGAACTGAATCTCAGTCGTTGTTGCTAACGGGATTGAACAACTTTCTTATTTGATAGGGGAACAACTATAAAAGTATATCTATTTTATCGAAAATTTTCTGCTCTTTCTAATGGTGTATAACACGCGCTTGCACAAGTACGTTTTTGGCCAAAAACTACAAAATTCACATGTTTTAGCCACTTTTAAACCTTGTTCGAGTCGATAACTTTCTTATATGACCAGGAGAAAACTCTAGAACCATATCTATCTTATCGAAAATGTTCTGCTCTTTCTAATGGAGTCTTTTAATAACAATAATACAACTTCATTTAAACTCATAGATATTTCTAATTTTGATTCACGAACACCCGAAAAGATCATAGCAAGTATATTTAACTCTTTAATTTTCTTAGAACAATTTAAGTGAATTATATATTAAAAAGAAACATAAATAAACCCTGCAAGGAGAGGAAAGTTCCGTCCAATCGGAAAAGATGATGTTCCAGAGACAGGACGTCGCGCCTTTATTTTTTTAGGTAGATAAGATAAAGGCGCGACGTACTGTCTGGAATGCACCATCTTTATCGATTGGACGGAACCCCCTCCCCCTAATTCGCTTAAATTGCTCTAAAAAAATTAGAGAGACATAATTTTAAAAAACTAATAACGGTATCCTATAAATGCAATTATTTCCTTATTAGCTTATTACCTTAATACGTTCAGTGCGCACAGAGTTGGTGAAAACTACACTGGAACATCTCACATGACGTATCATTGCGTTCCTTGTTTTTATTGGAAGTTGTTCAGATTTAGGTAATTATCTTTTATTTTGTCTAGTTATTCTACCAGGTAATAACATCAATCTATTATTGCGTCTATTAATAAACCCCTATCTATTTAAAGTTTACTTAAGCGAACAATACCTGAAATAGATTGCAAAACCCAGACGAAAATATTTATTATTAGTTTAAAAACTCTTGGGAAATTTAGATTTCAAGACACATAACTGCATGTCTAAATCTGCTTATGATTGTATCAACGGTTGTTTTGAATATAACACGCTTTATGTTTATGCATAACAATTGAAATTCATTCTTTTTATTAAATATTTATTTTTGCTTATCTCTTATTAATTCATAACAGCAAAAACCACTCCTTAACCAAATCAAAAGCACCTCTTTATAAACTGATAATATTCGGAAAATTTACATGGTGTCACTATAAATACGGGGAAATTTGTTTTTCATCACATTCAACAAGTTTAATTCTATCGAGTATAACTTATTGTAAGAAAATGGGGTACTTTTTAATTCTTTATGTTATGCTTCTATTTGGAAGTTTCTGGGAAACCACCAATGGTGCTGGTAAGTAAAAAAATTTAATAATTTCTTTTAAAAATTATTTTAAATGTCTTCTAAAGCCCTATGGGGAGAGGAGGCTTCCATCATGTCGGAAAAGATGGTCCTGGTGCATGTTCTAGAGAGAGGACGTCGCGCCTATATTTCTTTATGTAGGTATGATAAAGGCGCGACGTAGTCTATAGAACGCGCCACCTTTTCCGATTGGACGGAAGCCCTCTCTCTCTGCAGGGCTTATTTTTGTTTCTTTTTAATTTATAATTTACTTAAATCGCTCTAAAAGAAATTAGAAAGACATTTTTCTTCATAATGGTATTCGATAAATGTAATTATTTGACATATTTTGGTCAAACGGTAATAACATTGTGAGGTCTTACACGTTCCATATCTTTAAAGGCTTTGAGGATTATAATGCTGATAAATGAAACATGCGAATTAATGAAATTATTCTGTTTACTCAACTTAATAAATAGGGTTTAACGTTAATCCACTTTACATCGAGAGAACTAGAAAACCGTACTGAAATTTATGACGTTCCAAGCTTAGGATTAACAAAGTCACATTAAATTAACTTGGTTAATGTTCAAATTTAACTAAAAATATACATCGTTCTTTATTTATATTAAAGAAAAACCATGTGGCTCTTGTGAAACGTCTTTAATAACCACATCACGCCCGTTTTGATGTTGCTGTTTCAGGGTTGCGTATATTTGCCCCTCGAAAACTCATTGGACCTTGTCGTGCGCAACTAAAAGTCACGTTGTTGACGGCCCGGCATTTATTAAATTTTCGTGGACAACGATTTATGACCGACAATGAAAAACGAAATATTGCGAAAACATGCATATGTCATAAAAGAATGAATAAAATGAAGACATTTATTGGAGGAAATCTTAAAATAAAGTCCCATTTAAAATAAGTCACATAATTGGTGATATCTCGTCGAAAGTGTGTAGAGAAGAGTAGGAAGATTAAGAAGTGGGGAAATATTGCGGATCTAAAACCGTATGAAGTGGAAGTGCTCCTATAAACAGGGACGGGACGCGATATTAAATTTCCCATCGTGAACATACATCCTTGTGAGATGAGAACGGTATGAGGCACAGCGGGATTAATTTCGTCGAAGAGCACCAATTTTAAACCTACCGTTCGAAGTTTTTAATTATTTAGGACATGGTGTCACCAACAGAATATTGTGTCTTCCCTCTATCCGAACTATGTAAACGATAAAATCGATTCGAGACGAGATTACTTTTTGAATTTGATTTGGTTAGATCCTTCTTGTTATGGTATGCGGTTTGAAATCTAATATTCACAGGAATAAACACCGTAATAACAATAAATCTGAAACCGTGACGCCAATAATGGCTTTGGATTATCGATTATAAACCCGGCGATATTTGCAAGGTGTGCAACGTCTCTCTATGCACACCTCTGGCTTTACGATGAATTTATGACCTTAAGCTATATGCGATATCAAATTCAGGCGGATGGAGTTAATCAATAAGACGTAAATAATGAAGTTGTATTAGGAAATATCTGACCTATACGAAGTTAGCCCCCAATAGGATTTTACGAACAATATCTCATTCAAAAACCAATACGAAAGTGGAAATGCCCGATTTGTAATCTCATTTGAATTTCTGTAAAACGCCAAAATATTGCGAAAATACAGGGTGGTTCAAATTCAATGTCTGAATGTCATGATCTCGTTTTTCGAGAAACTGCTAATGCCAAAAACCTCAAAACGCTATCGTCTTTTGTTTTTCCCCTAGAGGCCAAAATTGAAAATATCGTAAAACCAGCAAGTGCAATTATCTTGGTTATTATTATAGGTGGAGCATTATACATTACATTACATTGCATTGCATCGACTACATATCGGGTAGGCGGACTAACCAACCTTGCATCGCGACCCTAAGGATCTATTGTACCCCGATAGATATCGTTATCAAATTTCACCGTGCAGTCCAATGCTCTTAACCAACATTAATACCTTGCTCGGCGAAAGGTCATTCAGATCCCTTGAGAACTGCGACCCAAAAATCGAGAATCTGATACGGTTAACGGCAGGGCAGTGGCATAAAACATGCTCAACCGTCTCTGCTTCCTCCGCACATAGTCGGCATTCAACATCGTCGGCTAAACCCAACAAGTTGAGGTGTGCTTTTAATCGGCAGTGCCCATTAGAACTTTTATGCTACTACGGGCAAGTCCTAAAATATTCCCGGGTTTGACAGTGGCGATGTTAATAAACACCTTAGCATGTCTCATTCCAGGAGAACTGGTCCACAGTAGGCGAAGTCTCTCTTCAGCCCACAGTCCAATCCTATATTTGGCCATCGCAAATGATACACCAACTGCTGGTTCCGGTCCCACAAACGCTTCAGCGCTGCCATCTCGTGCTAGCTTATCTGCCGCTTCATTGCCAGCAACCCCAGAGTGACCCGGGACCCAGATCAGAGAGACTCTGTTATCACAACTCAGTGTGTTTAATGTTCTCTTACAATCATTAACCAGAGCCGACACCGTTTTCACGGCTTGCAGCGCCTGGAGAGCGGCTTGACTGTCTGAGAAAATTCGTACTGTCATGTTCTTCACCCCTCTTTCAAGAAGGATTTTAGCACCCATGTCAATAGCAAATACTTCCGCCTGGAATACAGTACAGTACGTACCCAGGCTGTAGGCTTGCTTAATTCGAGGTGTCTGGCAGTATACTCCTGCTCCTACCCCTTCAGGCGTTTTTGATCCATCTGTGTACAAGCAAATGTCTGCCCGAACCAGAGAATTTTCATTTTCGATCCAGGACTGCCGCTCAGGCAGTACAATCTGGTATCGAGCATTAATCACTGATAGTGATACCGCCAAATCTGACGGCATTGATAGCACAGTATCAGTGCTTATAATGTCTTCCGCAGCCCATTGGTAGGACATGTCGGAACAGTTTTGAGCATATTGCTTAAATCTGTAAATGGTTGTTCTAGCCACTTTCTCTATATGCAAATGCAGAGGAGATAGGCCAAGCAGAACCTCCATTGCTAGAGTTGGCGTTGTGCCTATCGCACCAGAGATTGCCAATCCAGCTACTCGTTGAATTCGTGAAAGTTTACTGATAACTGAAGTCTGTCGGACTTTCCTATACCAGGCTGCTGCTCCGTATGTGATCATAGGTCTAACCACAGTCACATAGAGCCAGTACAGTCTTTCAGGGGTAAGACCCCAATTTTTTCCACAAAGACTGCGACAAGTCCACAAGGATAGTCTAGCTTTGTGCAAAACTCCCTGCAAATGTCCATTCCATGACAGGGTTTTGTCTAGGATTACTCCTAGATATTTGACTTCCTTTGAGAAAGGAATTTCTTCACCTTGGATAGTTGGGCGGATTAGTCCATCCAACTTTCGCTTCCTGGTGAAGGGCACAACAATTGTCTTTTGCGGGTTTATTGAGAGGTTCTCTCCCTTACACCAAGCGCAAATGGTATCTAGGGTCACCTGGAGGACTTTAGATATCCTCGGCAAACAGGTTCCTTTGACCATAACGACAATGTCATCAGCATAAGCTTGTATTTCCACACCAACGGCTTCGACTATCGCAATCAGATCGTCAACTAGGAGGGACCAAAGCAGGGGAGATAACACCCCTCCCTGCGGGCAGCCACCTCCCGGCCTGAAGCGTATCGTATCACCGTGGAGTGAAGTAGAAACTATTCTACTATCTAGCATATTGCGGATCCAACCCGCTATAGTTGCTTCCACTCCCCTGTCAAGAGCAGCTCTTTCAAAAGATTGTGGTATTGCGTTGTTGAACGCTCCCTCTATATCCAGAAACGCACAAACCAAGATTTCTTTATCCTGCAGCGTCCTGGATACTCTACCAACTAAGTTGTGTAGAGCCAATTCTGCTGATTTTCCCGCTTGATAAGCATACTGGTGGCGACTCAGTGGACCAGATACCAATGGCATCGTACGGATATACCGTTCTAGAACTTTTTCAAGGGTTTTCAGCAGAAATGACGTTACGCTTTGGGTATGTAAGATACCCGTACCTTAGTCCATTCTGCCGGCACATATTTCCAGGCGACACTCGCTCTGAAAATTTTTACCAAAATTGGCAACAACAAAGACCTCCCCTGCTGTAACAAAGCAGGAAAGATATTGTCTTCTTCAGGCGATTTGAACGGCTTAAACGTTTGAATTGCCTGGTCCACGGATGTGTAAGTGACGACTTTTCTAGCCACACTCCAATCCGTATTTGAGAGGCGCTTTGCCTTGCAGGAATAGCCCGCTGTGGCATTATTGGCCCTCATCATCAGGCTTCCTGGGAAGTGAGTCTGCATTAGAAGCTCCAACGAGGCTCCGCTAGAGTCCGTAAAACTACCGTCAGGCCGCCTAAGTGAGCCCAGGGGTAGTGCCGGATCTCTAGCGAGAATCTTGTGAATTCTTGCACTGCTGGGTGTATCTTTCACTCCCTCACAGAACCTCCTCCAAGGCTCTCTTTTTGCCTTACGTATGTTTTTGGTGTAATTCGTTAAAGCCTGTTTATATTTCTCCCATTCACCTAATGTCTTGGCCCGGTTAAAAAGCTTCCGGACCTCTTGTCTTTCGGAGCTAAGAGATTCGTTCCACCAGGGTGTGGAATATTATAACTAAAACATTATATGGACACTTTTTTACAGAGAATTTGAATTTGGTTTTAAGATATTATGGCAATTTTCGTTTTTTTAAATTATTCGCTTATTAAATTCGTTATTTTTTTCTGATTATAAAAATATGCGGTTAGATAGGTCTATTTCTTATTGTTTTAGAATAAAGCTAAAAATAAACTTTTTTTTAGTGTCGTCAAAGAAATTAAATTTACAGTTTCCTGTAAATTATGGTACTATAACTAAAAATTATTCTACTAAAAATTTATATAAAATTTACTTTATTTTCTAATATGTAACATTCTATATCTAACAGTTTCGTAATTCATCTTAAAAAACGATTTTTAATTTGACACTTCAGAAAATTTTTAAATACAAATGTTGCTATGTTTATTTGAATTAAAAAAATATATATGAGCGCCATCTATCAATAATTGATTAAGTCATTTAATAATAATATTAAATATTAATAAAAAATGTGAAATAATCCAATTTATTCCAACTTTTATTTAAAACAAATATAAATTAAATAGTTCAACAAATGTATTTGTTTCAAATAATTTTTTTTTTAATTTTTAGTTATAATTTACAGGAAACTGTAAATTTAATTTCTCCAAAAAAAAGTTTATTTACAGCTTTATTCTAAAACAATAAGAAGTAGACCTGTCAAACCCTATATTTTTGTATTTAATTATGTTTTCATTCATTATCACTTATTTAATTATTTAGACAATAAAATGATCATATACAAAGTGATATATTTTATTTAATTTTTGTCTTGACCGGTTTGGGTAATTAAATTACCATCTTCAGAAGACACGTCAAATTATTATTTAAAAGTTAAAACAAATACCACACATTTCTATACGAACACAATGACTTAACATCTCATTTCTTAAAATAAAATAACACAAGTGTACTATATTTTTGTAATCAGAAAGGAATGGTAAATGGAACATCCTGTATATTGTGTGCTAGTTGAATTGCTCATCAAGTTCTCTTTAATTAATGATATGCATGTCATATGTCTAAGTTTAATAGTTTTCCTGATATTTAGAATTTAAAGAAAAATGTGTACTAAAATGTCATTATTATTTCGTTTTTTTTAAATGGAAACAACCACTGATTACTCGCTTATTAAATTCGTTATTTTTTTTCTGATTACAAAAATATAGGGTTTGACAGGTCTATTTCTTGCTGTTTTAGAATAAAGCTAAAAATAAACTTTTCTTTTAGTGTCGTCAAAGAAATTAAATTTACAGTTTCCTGTAAATCATAACTAAAAATTAAAAATACATATTTCTGATATTTGAAACAAATACATTTGTTAAACTATTTAATTTATATTTGTTTTAAATAAAAGTTGGAATAGATTGCATTATTTCATATTTTTTATTAATATTTAATATTATTATTAAATGACTTAATAAATTATTGATAGATGGCGCTCATATATATTTTTTTAATTCAACCTAAACATAGCAACATTTGTTTGTAATCAAAAATTTTCTGAAGTGTCAAATTAAAAATCCTCTTTTTTAAGATGGATTACGAAAATTACGAAAAGTTTAATATGTTAGAATGTTACATATTACAAAATAAAGTAAATTTTATATAAATTTTTAGTTATAGTACTGTAATTTACAGGAAACTGTAAATTTAATTTCTTTGACGACACTAAAAAAAAGTTAAACTAAAAATTATTCTACTAATAATTTATATAAAATTTACTTTATTTTCTAATATGTTAAACTTTTCGTAATTCATCTTAAAAAACAGGATTTTTAATTTAACACTTCAGAAAATTTTTAAATACAAATGTTGCTATGTTTATTTGAATTAAATAAAATATATGAGCGCCATCTATCAATAATTTATTAAGTCATTTAATAATAATATTAAATATTAATAAAAAATGTGAAATAATCTAATAAATAATATAAACAAACAAATATAAATTAAATAGTTCAACAAATGTATTTGTTTCAAATATCAGAAATATGTTTTTTTAATTTTTAGTTATAATTTACAGGAAACTGTAAATTTAATTTCTTTGACGACACTAAAAAAAAGTTTATTTCTAGCTTTATTCTAAAACAATAAGAAATAGACCTATCAAACCTATTTAATAGTTTTATTAGTGGTTGTTTCCATTAAAAAAAACCAAAATTGTCATGATATCTTAAAATCTAAAACCGAAAATTTTTTTTTGACTACGTCATCAAATTCCTCTGTAAAAAGGTGTCCATACAATGTCTTAGTTATAATACTCCACCTATAATAATAACCAAGATAATTGCACTTGCTGGTTTTACCATGTTTTCAATTTTGGCCTCTAGGGGAAAAACTAAAGACGATTGCGTTTTGAGGTTTTTGGCATTAGCAGTTTCTCGAAAAAACGAGATCATGACATGTAAGCTACTTTTTTTCTACCTCTTATAGTTTCCGAGTTAACCTATTCGGACATCGAATTTGAACCACCCTGTACATCAACATTACATAAAAATAAGTTCGATTGTAAAGATCTGTACAACATTCGATTCGCTATAGTTTCTTCTATCGAAATCACAAAATTAACAATCTCAACTCTTTCCTGTTCACCTTGCATAGCCTTTAAAAGGACACCGTGTCCAAACAAAAAAAAAATAATGCAGTAACTGCATTACTACTACTACATACTATACATTGTACTAAATCTATGCACATCTATTGTATAAAAGTTGTAGAAAATATATTGGGGAGTGTCTTCAGGTAGCTAAATATCTGTGGTATGAAAGGTCTAGCATTAAGGAGAAAATTATAAATATTTATTTAACTGAAGTAAAATTTGTTTCGTAAACAATACACGGAATTCGCGGGAATCCTCGCCAAACTCAAAGCGGTATTTTAAATAATACAAATAATAAGAATTTTTTAATACATATAAAAACCCGCGTAACAATTAATTTCAAATAGTCAAAATGAATACTTCACTTCTATTAATATTCGTCTTCGCGACTAACATAATTGGTAAATATATTTAATAATCTTCTAATTTACTTTAATTTAAACATGTTTTAGCCACCCCTCTAAAAAACACCACTCGTCTTCAACAGCGCATTCGAAACGGTCAAGATATCGACATTTCAAACGCAAAGTTTTATGTATTCTTCACGTGTAGTGGGGTAATTTGCGGAGGGACCATCCTTAGTTTAACAAGAGTGGTCACAGCAGCTCATTGTACTATAGGTTGCGATCCGAAGAATATCCAAATGTACATGGGAAAGAATTCATGGGACGAACAAGGCGAACGATATCTAGCAGATAATTTATTCAGGCATCCCAAATACGACCCTGCACAAGGATTTCAATATGATATAGCTGTAGTATACGTATCTGGACAAATTCGACCGAATGATAAAGTTGATAGAACTTCATATTTATTGTATGATGTACCTATAGGTTCTACCGTTAGAAGTTTCGGTTATGGAGGTGTGACTGGTGGAGGATTTGCTAAAAAATTGCAGGTGTCTTATAATGTGGTTCAAGATTATGAAAATAATTTATACAGAGTGGAATCGTCCAGATCGGGCACTGCAGGGGTAAGTTTAATGCTGTTAATTTTTTAGATGAAACCTGATTAATTTAAAATCTAGGGTGATTCTGGCGGTCCATGCACGCTTGACAGCTATCTTGCTAGCGTTATTGTGGGAAGTGTCACTGTTAATGGTAATCATGTATATGATGTTAGTGTTAACATAGCTCGTCCAGAAATTGTGTCATTTATACGTTCTCATGGTCTTTAAAACTTAATCAATTGTTGTTATAAAAATAATGTTGATGTTAATTAAACAAAGTTTAAAATAAAATGTATTCCAACAATTCGAAGTAATTATGTAATTGTGGGCAGAACTAACCTTACTATTCATAGGGAAATGAGATATTATCATATCAGAATACAACATTCCCTATAGAGAAAATACGAAAATGTTATTTTAAGGAAATTTATTGCTTATTTAATTCTAAATAAATTTTTATTTGAAAGAAAATCTTTTTGATATATTCAATAATGATAAAGATCAAAAATTAAAAAATTTGTGTCAAAAAATTTATGACAATTTTCGCTTTTATAATACAGGGTGTTCATTTCAAAACTTTCCACCTCAATTTCTGTAAATCCGGAAGTTTAAAAAGAAAATCGCTGAAATAGGTAAAAAATAAAACCAAGGGGGACAACATTTTATGCAAAAATTGACTCACTCACTTCAACACCCCGCCGCCAGAAACCAACCCCTTAAAAATCTTAAATGGAAAGGGATACCTCATTTTAAAGGTCTTTTAAGGTACTACATGTTAGTATTTATTTTTTTTAAATTGATCGATTCGTTTTCGAAATTTCCCGCTTTAATTAATATTAAAAACTTTAATCACCTTCTTAAAAGCAAGAATAAGTAATCTTTTATTATTAATTTATAAAATTAAATTACCATGTTCGTTTTTACAACGACCATTAAACCTTTATTATTTCGGAGCAATCCGAAATCTTTGATATTTAGGTTATTTTGACAATGATATACCTACGTTGGCTAGCTTGCCTGGCGTCTGTCAGAGATATTTAGAAAAAACGATTTCTGTTTCATTTTTCTTTTCTTTTAGGTTTATTTGGTTATTACTTAAACAACTTTTAACTGCTTGAAACGTTCTATTTTATTTTCAGTTANGATTTTTCAATTGATATTCAAACTAAACCGTTATCTGACACCGTGATAATAAACTAAATCTATCGATACAGAAATCTTCAGTGTATTTTTAAAAACCTTCTTTTAAGAAAGATTCTTTGTATTGACACATGTTTGAGTTCTAGATTTACCTTGAAATTTTCTTGTACAATTCCCATTTTAACCAAACAAAGGGAGCCACTGTAAAAGATTTTACTCTTCGGCTCTGAATATACGAATTTTAACGAGTTTTTTTTGTTGTTGTTACTTTGTGAATAATCTTGAAAAACTTGAGTATTAGTTATTTATGGAAAATAATACATATAAAAGTTTATTTTCTAAGCTACTAACGAAAATTATTACTAGCAAAATAACAGAAAATTGCATATATGGCAAAGATGCCATATACATACCACGACAATTGATTGACAAGTTATTAGAGTACAACAAATCTTTGTACCTTTGCTTCTCCCTCTCTATCTCTCTAAGTCAGTGTTTCCCAAACTTTCAGCATATACAGGTGTTCATTTCAAAACTTTCCACCTCAATTTCTGTAAATCCGGAGTTTAAAAAAAGTAAAGAATAACTAAGAGAAGAACTAAATATCTTTGACAGACGCCAGGCAAGCTAGCCAACGTAGGTATATCATTGTCAAAATAACCTAAATATCAAAGATTTCCGATTGCTCCGAAATAATAAAGGTTTAATGGTCGTTGTAAAAACGAACATGGTAATTTAATTTTATAAATTAATAATAAAAGATTACTTATTCTTGCTTTTAAGAAGGTGATTAAAGTTTTTAATATTAATTAAAGCGGGAAATACAAAACAAAGATTTTCGCAAAAATTTCGAAAACGAATCGATCAATTTAAAAAAAGTAAATACTAACATGTAGTACCTTAAAAGACCTTTAAAATGAGGTACCCCTTTCCATTTAATATATCTTCTTATATTACGCATTTAAAGTATTCAATAAAGTATTCACGTAACTATGTATTTTGAACGTGGTGAAAAAAAGAAATGTAAAAATATATATTCAATATATTCAAAGGCTTAAGACGGCTAAACCTGAATGTTTTTATTTCTAGTTAGTTAACATAAGAAATCACTGATTCAAATTTTTATTAAACTAAAATTAAAGCCGTCTTAAGAGAAGTGCGGCTAAATCCGAATGTTTCTAGTTCTAGGTTTAGTGTTAGCTCAACTTTTATTTCAGTAAAATTTGACAACAATTTAACACTTAATAACAATTAGAACTAGAATTAATACTAGACCTAGGACTAGAAAGTGAAGACGCACAGCTAAACCCGACATTTTCTAGTCCTAGTTAGTGAATCTAGTTGGTAACTAATTCTAGATATACAGAAAGGCTCAAGGATTAACAGATCCTGGGGAAAGAGGAAAGAATTCTTAACATGAAGGAGATTCTGTACGAACCGGACATCTTGCAAGCAAAGGTGGAGGAGGTAATAGCATACTTAAATAAAAGGAAAATCTCCAGGATACAACGATATAATGCCCCTATTTTTTTACTCCTTACTTTTGCAAAATCTGAATCAACATGGCCCAAGGATTGGTCTGCTTTTACTTTCATTCCTATACATAAGAAGGGTGCAACTATCGTATCATTTCCTTGATTTCGTACCCAAGTAAGATTCTGCTTCGAATTATTAATCCAGAAGTGGTTTGCTGAAGTTCAGCGATTTCTAAAATATTTTGCAAAAGCATATAACCTATTTGTGCCGTAGCCCAACCTCATCCTTATTTCTAAAAAATCTGGGTATAACCTCATTATCCATTATATTTTTATAAAATTTTCATTTTATACAGAATCATACCAAACACGTCACAACGTTTCAAAGAATCTTTAATTCTATAATGTTTAAATCCAACCATATAAGCATGAATGTCTCAACCCGATAAGATTTTATTGCATACTGTAATCTCATCTGTACGGTGTAGAGGTTACAACTACGAGAAGAGTTAAGAAAATATGGGAAATACTAATAAGATGAAGAAGCCTTGCTTTAGACCATACCTTATTATAAAAGTAAATAACATCCTTGATGTTCAAACTCGACGACGAATACAAACTTATCATATTAGAAGTATCGCACTTGAACTCGGTATTATTCCAGATCTTGCCAGCGCTGACGTAAAAACAACGTCACTGGACGAACCTCTATTTATCTTGCACAACTTAAACATCAGAAAACAAAGAGTCACACTAAACTTCATTGGATCAATAGTCAAAGAGGCATCAGGAAACTTAGACGCAGAAGACACCAGTTTTTGAGGAATTTTTGCAATTTTTGGGTTGAACAGTGTTTCTGATCAACTTAATTTATTTACATATTTAACTTTAGAATTAAATATGCTTTGAAACATTGTGATGTGTTTGGTATGATTCTATATAAAATGAATATCTTATAAAATGTCAGGCTGCGTTGCAACGTTTCTTTTTATGGATAATGAGGTTATACCGAGATTTTTTAAAAATAAGGATGAGGTTAGGAGACGGCTCAAATGGGATATATGCTTTTGCAAAATATTTTAGAAAGCGCTGAACTTCAGCAAAACACTTCTAGATTAATAATTCGGAGCAGAATTTTACTCGGGTACGTCAATCAAGGAAATGGTACGATAGTTGCACCCTTCTTATGTATAGGAATGAAAGTAAAGGCAGACCAATCTTTGGGTTAAAAAAATAGGGGTATTATATCGTTGTATCCTGGAGATTTTCCTTTTTTTAAGTATGCTATTACCTCCTTCACCTTTGCTTGCAAGATGTCCGGTTCGTACAGAATCTCCTTCATGTTAAGAATTCTCTCCTCTTTCCCCAGGATCTGTTGATCCTTGAGCCTTTCTGTGTATTTAGAGTTAGTTAGTAACTAGATTCACTAACTAGAACTAGAAAATGTCGGGTTTAGCTGTGCGTCTTCACTTTCTAATCCTAGGTCTAGTATTAATTCTAGATCTAATTGTTATTAAGCGTTAAATTGTTGTCCAATTTTACTGAAACAAAAGTTAAGCTTAACACTAAACCTAGAACTAGAAACATTCGGGTTTAGCCGCACGTCTCTCAAGACGGCTAAACCCAAATGATTTTAGCTCTAGGTCTTGTGTTAGTTCTAGTGATAGTGCTAGTGTAAAACTAGAACTAACACTAAACCTAGAACTAGAAACATTCGGATTTAGCCGCACGTCTCTCAAGACGGCTAAACCCGAATGATTCTAGTTCTAGGT